AGCTCTAGCCCACAGCGTTTCTGGGCAGGTTTACCATGCCTGGTTCACTGCTGCTCACAGCATGGGCTCCTTCCTAACAGGCATTTGAGGGGGGACACTTGTCCTTCCTGGGTGGTCTTGCTTCTCCTGCTCCCTGTGTGTGCAGATAGAGGCTGTTATCTCCAGATGCACTCTGTGAGAGTATGCATGTCTTCTGGGACTGGCCCTGAGGCTCTTTCTCATGTTCACAGTAAGCACATGGCGTTTATGGAGAGTCGCCAGGCTGACAAGGCCCATCTGACCATCACAGGGCAAAGAACACAGGCTTAAATAGTCCAAGCCCCTCCTCCCAACACGGTGCCTAGCAGCATGTCTGGTTGCTTTGTTGCAACCCTTGACCCGTCTGGGGAAGTTCTCTTTAGGATTCGATTGTTCCCATTCTCCAACATAGATGGTTGAATGTGGAGCAATCTGAGGCCTGGGCGCAGAATCTGAACTGCAGCCTGAGCAGGCTGGGGCTAGGTGTGGGAGGAGGAGGGGGGGTGGGGGGAGAGAGGGAGACTTTAATCTATCCAATAAGCACACCAATTGCAAGGTGGAAAGGGTGGGAGGAGAAAGATCCAGGGAAGACTACACAGGTAATTCAAAGCCAGCTTGGAATATACAGTGAGACCCTGCCTTTGAAAAAATGGAGAAGAGAGAAAAGAAAAAGAAAAGAAAGGTCCAGAGAATCAGAGGAGTTTAGCGAGAAGGAACTTTATGTTTAGTGAAGCCCATGTGCCATCTTCAGGGTCCCCCCTGAAATTCTACTTCCTTCCTGTCCCCCAATTCTGGTCCCTTTTTCCCCTTACCAGTGACCTCCCTGATCCTCCCCTCCTCTTCCTCAGCTTTTTGCCCTGTACTGCAGCTATGACAATGAGGTTCTACACTGATTTCAAGGAAAAAGCCTGAAAGAGTTTGAAGCTAGGGGTTCACATGTCCTACCTGCTCCTATGAAAATGTTGTCGCAGGGCTGGGAAGGTGGCTTAGTGGTACAGTGCTTGCCTTGCATGCATGAGGCCCTGGGTTTGATTCTTCAGCACCACATAAGCAGAAAAAGCCAGAAGTGGCGCTGTGGCTCAAGTGGTAGAGTGCTAACCTTGAGCTGAAGAGCTGAGGAACAGTGCCCAGGCCCAGAGTTCAGTCCCCACAACTGACAAAAAAAACAAAAAAACAAAAAAAAGATAAAAGAAAAAAGCCGGAAGTGGCTCTGTGGCTCAAGTGGTAGAGCACTAGCCTTGAGGTGAAAAGCTGAGGGACAGCGCCCAGGCCCAGATCAGGCCCCATGACCGGACCCCCCGCCCCCCCCCCCAAAAAAAAAGAAAATGTCGCATTTCAGGAAGTAATTCTGCACACATAGAGTAGAGGGCAGCAGTAGGGCCAAGGTGCCTCCCTGCCCAGCAAACCCCTTCCTACAAATACAGCTAAACGAAAAATAAAAAGAAATCATGTCATGATCTTAAGTAGCCTCAGGTCAGATTTTATGTCCCAGTAAATTACCAAAAAAAAGTGTTTTGTTTTGTTTTGAAATGTGTTTAGCTTTCACAATTCTAGATGCAGGATTTGCCCACTCTAAGAGACTGGTACCCACATGGAATTCACACCTATCTACACCCAGGAGTGCTATTTCCTTCTCCTTCTCCTTCTCCTTTTCCTCCTCCTTCTCCTCTCCTTCTCCTTCTCCTCTCTTCCTCCTCTTCCTCCTCCTACTCCTCCTCCTTCTTTCTTCTTCTTCTTCTTTTTTTTTTTTTTTTTGTTGGTCCTGGGGCTTGAACTCTGGTCCTAGAAGCTGTCCTTGTTGCAGACTTTTCTGTCCAGGCTAGTTTCAAACCACATCCTCAGATCTCAGCCTCCTGAGAAGCTAGAATTACAGGTGTAAGCCACCAGCACCCAGCTGATCCTCATCTCATTATCCAGATGCCATTTTAATCACCTCCGTTCTTGGGGGTCTCTAGATGTTTGAAATATACTCCCCTATCCCTGATATGCCCCCTCATTCTCTTCTCTTTGGGGTAGAAGGCACATAGAATGAGATTTCTTCCTCCTTTGCTTTCTCCTCTGCAGGCTGGCCACACAGCTTTGTCCATCACTATGAAATCACCCACCTCATCCGCCCATGTGGAGATTGCTGAGCTTCTGCAGGCCCACTCGGAACGGGGCAGGTCCCTGGGGCTGTAGGAGCTACAGAAGAACTGGCACCCAGAAACAAAAGTCTCCTTTTCTGGACTCTCCTTCAGCCTTGGAGAGGGCAGGGGTCATAACCACAGGGCAGCCCCTCACCAGAAGAAACTATGTCAAATATGCACATACATTCCTGTCATGTAATTCTGCTCCTTAGGATGCTTGTAGTTGTTGCCTTAGGCCTTGTTCCCAAACCACATGGGTTCCAGGAAAGGGTCCAAGGTAGGAGAGAGAGCACTGGGTCACTGGTGCCATCCAAACTCCTAAACATCCTCAGCCTGGAATTCTTCGTGACGCTTACCCCTGCAGCGCTGTGGAGCCAGCCGGCAGAAAGGAGCACACGCATCTGCGCACAGTAGATAAGCAATACTTTTTACACGGAGTTTTAAGGTGCGCTGTCTTTTTATTTTTAATCAAGAGTATACACATAGGTCCCATTGAATATGCACGTCTGGAGAGGATTCGGGGAGGACTTACGTTGCCACCCTGGCAATCATTGTCAAGAAATCTCTAGGGAAATAAAACACCACAAAGACAGGTGAAATGACCAAGTCCTTCTTGGGGAGTTGGTTTAGATGGAGTTGACACAAACATCTTCAATCCAGACACGGTAGAAAGAAGGTATTGAAGTCAATGCCAGACATAATCTTGAACACTTCTGAGCCATCCATTGGCTCTGCTTCACTCCATGGGTATTGGCATTGATCAGGAAACCCAGTCCCATGACAAACGGCACATGTATCTTGGCGGCATTTGATCACTGCAGCTATTCTTCACGTGTGAACGAAATGATTTGGAGGGAGCTTTCTCCTAAAGTTCTTGGCTTCAAGAAGCCTCTGCCTTCCCTCCATGGTACTGTATCTGTATGGGCAGGTGTCTACTCTGATGTGTCCCAGGCTCCTGACTTCCAAGCTGCTGGGCTGCACTGGAGCTGGCCAAGGCCCTCCTAGGCTGACAGATGTCTCTACTGGACAACTCTTTCGTAAGATTCTATAGTTGCTAAGGCTCACACACGCATGGCTTATATTCATAACTCGCTAATGGCAATCTAGAAATGTGGTTTTTCTCTCCTTTTTCTCCTGATATTGGGGCTCTCACTTAAAGCTGGGTGCTGTCCCTTACCTTTTTTGCTCAAGGCTGGTGTTCTACCACTTGAGCCACTTCCAGCTTTTCGGTGGCTAATTGGAAACAAAGAGTTTCACAGACTTTTCTTGCCTGGGCTGGCTTCAAATTGCGGACCTGATATGCCAGCCTCAAGTAAAATTACAGGTGTGAGCCACCAGCACCCAGCGTGTGAAAGTGTTCTTGAAAGTCTTTTATGAAAATGAATAAAATTCCCCTTGTGTTAAAAGGTTAAGACATGGAAGTTGGTAAGCCTCACACTGAAAACACAAAGCAGTTCTTATTTGAGCTGCAATGCCCGCTGCCTGGTTCCCCTTGGATAGGTCACAAAGACACCTTGGATGTCAGCTTCATAGTTTCTAAAAGCAGAAATGATCACACAACCTACCTCCCAGGGGTGCTGCACAAGAAACTGTCCATGGGAGTTTGGAAATCCAGTTTGCCACGCATAAAGACTGTCTTGAGAAATGGCATAACAAATGTCTTTACACCACTGGAATTTAAAAGAACCAGTGTCCCGGAGCAGGCTCGTTGACATGCATTGCTGCTGCTCAGAGGTAAAAGAGCAAATGATGAGCTAAAGAATGCTTCCAGGGACTTTCAACCTCAAAACACACCCGAGCAAAACCCTCCATTAAGGAAGGTCCCAGCCCAGTGCTTTGTGCAAATGCCCTAGGGTCTCCACAGCATTCAGCAGGTCAGGTCTGGGATGAGGCCTGTTCTGTACTTGTGACCAGTCCCCAGGAGGTGAAGGCAGTTGGGTCACAACCACACTTCTCTTTTTAGCAAGGCACTGGCCTGTCTTTATTATTTGTAAAGTAAAACGCTGCCTCTTCACCTTCTGTATCGAAATGTCTGCATTTCTCTGCTCTTGACTCGGGAATTTGCAGCGCACATCTGTATTAGTTCATTTCTTGTTGCTATACCAAAATACCTGAGGAAGGCTACTTATGAAGGAAAACAGGTTCATTTAGCTTAGTTTGAAAGACTGAAAATCCAGGAGACTGAGGACAGAGGGGACAGACCGGAACAGTTGAAGGTGCCAGCATGCCTGCATATTCAGCATTTCTGGGGAATATGCTCTGAACGTGTGTAGCTGTTTGTCTGCTCTCTGGGACTTGAACTCAGAGCCTTGAGATCTAGCTCCAATTGCATGCTCACAGTTGATGGGCCATCACTTGAGCCAAGCCTCTAGCCCTTGGCATTGACTATTAATCACTGATGACATGGGAAGCTGTTTTTCTCTCCTTCATCAGCCTTGACTACAACCTGGGCCAGAGGGAAATGCCCATGACCTGGGGTGGACTTCTGGTGTGCTAGAGCAGATGACAGCGGTGGCCTTTCCTGTACCTCTCCTGGTCCATGTACAGTCTGGAAACAGGAACCCTGCTCTACAGCTCCCAACAGGACAGTTTTCCTGCTGCAGACATCTGGAAAATGAGCAGGCTTATGTAACAGGTGCTCCATAAATATTGAATGATGAACTCTACGAAAATCTACCCTCAAAGAAGATTGTATAAAAGAAAGATGTTTAACAGCATTTGTGGTTAAATATTAACACTGTATTATAATAATGTATCCAAATAAAATTAGGGATATGCTTAAGGCATAAAAACTGAGCAGGATTAAGCGGGGGGGGGGGGGGGGGGGGGTAGGGATTGCCCCTGTGCTTGGAAAGGTCAGGTACACACAGCCTGTAGTTGGGAGAGGTGCCGACATGTCTGGCCCAGGTCAGAAAACTTGATGGCATTTCCAATATGGAGGGTAATTCTGTTGGGAAGCAGGGGCTGAGTTGCCAGGTAAACTATTGGGAGGAGGCAGGTGGTCTGAAGAGTCTAAAAGGCACTTTACATGAAAAAGTTCAGCATATCAACTCTCTCCCTTCCCCACCAAAAAAAACACAAAAATTCATAAACTAGGGCTTGAACAAATGACTTGCATTCCTTCAGATTGGTAACACTGAGGCCCTCTGCCATTTGAAGTACACTGCTAGTCCACTTTTTTGCTGATTAATTGGACATGTACATACTGGCTTTGAACACTAACCCTTTAGATCTCAGCTTGAATAGTTAGGATTACTGATACAAGCCACTCCTACCCCTCCCCATTCCCTTCCCCTCCTCTCAGTCCTGGGGATTCAACTCAGGGCCTGGTCACTCCTTGAGCTTTATTTTTCAAGGTTGGCACAGAGATCCTTAGTGATTTTGTTTGTTTTTGGTCAGTCATGGGGCCTGAACTCTGGGCCTGAGCGCTGTCCCTCAGCTCTTCAGCTCAAGGCTAGCACTCTACCACTTGAGCTACAGCACCACTTCCCATTTTCTGGTGGTTTATTGGAGCTAAGAACTTCATAGACTTTCCTGCCCGGACTGGCTTTGAACTGAGATCCTCAGATCTCAGCCTCCTGAGTAGCTAGGATTACAGGTGTGAGCCACCAGCACCCAGCTTCTGTGGTGATTTTGTGTTGGAAGGCGGTCTTCAGTGTTCAGTTCCTCTCTCCTCCTCCACATACCTCTGACTCCTCCTCCACATACCTCTGACTGGCCCTTCTTCCCAGCTTAGTGCAGCTTTGTCCCTCAGCCCTGCTAATCTCCCACACTCTCCAAGCCTGTCTGTCTCCCCTTTAATAGCCTTCCTTTCTATTTTTTTGGTAAACTGTAGGGGTTGAACTCTGGGCCTGGACCCTGTCCCTGAGCTCTTCAGCTCAAGGCCAATGCTCTAACACTTGAGCCCACAGTGCCACTTGTTTCTCTGGTGGTTTTTTGGAAATAGAGTTGCAGGGCATCCTGCCTGGGCTGGCTTTGAACCATGATCCTCAGATCTTAGCCTCCTGAGAGGCTGACTACAGGCATGAGCACTAGCTAAGCCTTCCTTTTCTTAGAACCCTCAAGGTGTAAATATTTCCATTCCTAACCCCCCACTTCAGTACATTAAGCTTGAGAACCTGTTATCATGGAAGTACCTGCGCTCCACTGTACCCCACACCCTGCTACTGGCATGTGACCAGCATATCCTGACCTCAATAAACTCATCAATAATTCTTCACAGCCAACAGACGGGGTTCCAGCCTCAGAGTTAGCTTAAAACTGCACAGGGTGCTGGTGGTTCATGCCTGTAACCCTAGCTACTCAAGAAACAGATCTGAAGATCACAGTTCAAAGTCTATCCTGTCAGGAAAGCCCATGAAACTATCTCCAATAAACCACCAAAAATCAGAAGTGGATCTGTGGCAAGTGGTAGAACAATAAGGTCAGGGACAACACTCAGGCCCTGAGTTCAAGCTCCAAGCAAAAGTTGCTAGGTGAGGCAGCAAAAGACTATAATCCCAGTAATTAAGAGGCTGAGGCGGGATACTAAGCCCCAATTCAAGGTGCTTGCTCAAGGTCAGCCAGGACAAGACCCAAAGAGCATTTTAGCCCACACTACAGCATGACCACCTCTGGTTCTCATAGGATAACCCAAGCCTGTGATGGCAGAAAGCCTGACAGTGAGTAGTGAAAGGTTAAAGTTTAAGGCAGTGACCACGTGTTGCTTGTTTCTGTCTAGCAAAGCAACACATGGTAATCAAAACACCTGGTTGATTGTGTGCCTATATAAGACCTGCAAATCCTTAGCTCGGGGCTCTCCTCCTAGGCGGGGGTCTCCTCCTAGGCTCCGCTGTGTCGGAGTGTAGGACGAGGCCCGAGCTGCAGCCCGTTTAAATAAAACAGCTGTAGAGTCTGACTCTGGGTGTTCTTCTTGGTGGGGGTCCTGCGACCTTGGCATAACAAGTAGAACTTGCTTCAGGTGCGCCTGTCTGACCAAGTCCCGAAGTAACTCAAGCCAGGCTTCAGGTGTAGCTTCAATGACTTATCGGTTCAGTGAAAGGCCCTGAGTTCAAACCATATAGGTCACCAGTACTGTTCTAATACTGCAAAAACCAGCTGTCAGTCTTCATGAAGAACCCACCAGGCCAGGTGCTGTTGCAAGCCCGTAATCATTAGCTACTCAGGAGACTGAGATCTGAGGATCAAGGTTCAAAGCCAGCCAGCCTAGGGCAGAAAAGTACCCACAAGACGACTATCTCCAATTTCCAATTAACCACTCAAAAACCATAAATGGCAGTTTCTCAAGTGGTAGAGCACTAGCCTTGAGCAGAAGAACCTAGGGACAGCACCCAGTCCGACCAAAAAAAAAAAAAGGCCCACCAGGAAAGAAACACTGGCAAGCTAAGGAACCAGAACCTGAACATAGGGAACTTGCCTAGAATTGGGACTCACAACCAGGTGTTTTGAGGCCAAAGCAGGTAATTACTTGGCAGGTGCTCATTGGAAGATAGGACAGAGTTAGCAGAAATGACAGATGGAGAAACTGGACAAAGGACTTTTTTTTGTTGGTTGTGGGGCCTGAACTCTGGGCCTGGGCGCTGTCCCTCAGCTCTTCAGCTCAAGGCTAGCGCTCTACCACTTGAGCCACAGCGCCACTTCCGGCTTTTTTCTTTTTGCTTATGTGGTGCTGAGGAATCGAACACAGGGCCTCATGCATGCAAGGCAAGCGCTCTACCACTGAGCCACCTCCTCAGCCATGTACAGAGGACTTTTTAAAAAAACATTTGGCCAGGGAAGAGATCAATTGTCCTTATAGCAAAAGCTATATGACTCAGTCCATTTCTTGCCCTAACAGACTGATGATAAAAAGTCACATGTTTGGGGAGAGTTTTGATCCTTTGATGTGTCTAAGCAATAACAATGACAGAAGCAATTTGAAAAGGTTAAGAAACTTTTAATATAAGCAAATGAGGCATAAGCAAGCAAAAACAGCTTTCATAGTCACATAATGACAAAGTTTTATTTAACAGAAAAGCTTATCCCTGTGTAAGCTAGGATCTTTACCATCAAATTTTATAAATGGCTAGCATTTACCATTTACCTTGTCCAACATCTAGCTAATAACATTTCCTCCCCTTACTCCAAAATAAGCTATTAGCTGTCCATCCTTCTGGGCACAATGTTGAGGTCTCATTTCCCAGATTTGTTGACTTTTTTGGATGTGTTTTGATGGGAGGAGAGGACTCATAGATTGACTAAAGTATATCCTCCAATGATTCTTTCAAAGAGGGCACAGAAGAAATAAACCTCCTAAATTCTTCAGTATCAAAAAACACTTTTGTCTTACCCTCAAAATCAAATACCAATTTGGCTGGATACCGAATTCTAGGTTCAAAGCCTTCCTCTTGCAGAACTTTAATGATATTGGTCCACTGACTTCTAGCATCTAAGGTACCCACAGACAAGTCTGCTGTCAACCGGATTCTTGTTCCTCGATAGGTTACTTCTTTCCTCTCTCTGGAAGCCCTTATAATTCTATGTTTATCATTGGAATTCTGCAGCTTCACCAAGATGTGCCTAGGAGTAGGTCTCCTTTCATCAACTGAACTCGGTACTCGGTTAGCACTGACAATCTCAAGACCGAAATCCTTCATTTCTGGAAAGTTTTCTTCAATAACTTCCTTTATTATGTCTTCTGCTTCATTCTCCTGGGTATCTTTTTCTGGGATTCCTATCAACCGGATGTTGGAACTTCTGAATCTGTCCTCTCTATCCCTTACCCTTTCTTTGCTGATTATGTGCTTAGCCATTTGCGTTGCATTCTTGGACAACTCCTCCACTTCATCTTCTAGATTGTGTATTTTAGTTTCAAACAAGCCGAACAGGTTATAGAGATCATCTATTGAGTTTTTAATTTCCAAGACATCTGGATGACCACTGTTTATGTTTTCAACCTTCTCTTGTACCTCCCTACACATACCGATGACACTTCTTCTGAAGTTTTCTTCTGTTTCCTGGATTAAGTTGGCGTCTCTAGATGCCAGGCGTTCTATTTGGAAGGTCTTGTGTCTCTCTTCCCTTGTTTCCCTTGGAAAGGAAAGGATTCCTGGTGCAGCACTCAAGTCTGTCTGTGAATGCTGTTCAGTATCACCACTACTTACTTCTAGTGGCTGTGGGGGAGGGGACAGATATAAGGTCAGGCAAGGTGTAGCTCTTTCCTCTCCTTCCTGGGTTTTGTTTACCTCTCGGCACTTCACCAACTTTTTCTTCTCTGCATCCCAAACCAAATAACTAAAAGCAATTTCTTTAAGTCCATAAAAGTTCTCTTTTTTCTTGGGCCAGGAGGTAGTTTTCACTTTCCCTACTTCCTCTTCCTCCTCCATCTGGTGATCCATTACCAAGTCAACAAGACTAATCTCCAAGCCATCCCTGGCCATTTTCTCAGTTCCAAGCTTTGTGTTTACCACAGAAAGACTCTGAAAGGTAGAACCCTGTTCCTCTCTTAATATAGAGGCCTCTTCTGTCTCTTCCCCCTCCTCCATTTCTGAGGCCTCTTCTCTTTCCTCCTGTCCTGAGGTTTCTTCTCCGAACTCTTCTTCCTCTATCTCTGAGGCTTCTTCCTCTTCTGTCTCCGAGGATTCTTCCTCCTCCTCTGTCCATGAAATCTCTTCTCCCTCCTCTTCTGTCTCAGAGGTTTCCTCTCCTTCCTCTTGCTCCAACCTGGAGGTTTGTGAAGACTTTTGTGTCCCTACATTCTTCACCTTTGACCTAGCAACTTTCACCTCTTTGACAAACAGGAAGCTCAAGCCATCACTTGCTGTTCCTCCAGCCTCATGCTTTGAGTCTGTTTTACCCTGAAAGTTATTCAAATTATTTGTTATGCAAATTATTTTAATCATTCATCTTTGACATGAATAAAACTTCCATTTCCCTTCATAAATTCAATGTGGCTAACATCTAACAATATGCAGTCAATTCTAGAAAATTATTAATTACTTGATTCCCCTTTGGGTTTGAACTCGGACCTTGCCATACTTAAACCCTCTCTCCCCTGGCCCTTTATTACTATTGGTCTTTTTTCTGGTAGGACCTTACTTTTGCCTAGGCTAGACTCATTCTGCAGTCCTCCTACCCAAGCCTCCTACATAGCTGGGATTATGGGCACACACAAGGCATGTTTACTTTTTTTTTCTTTTGTCACTCATAGGGATTAAATTTCTATTTGGAAGGTCTTGGGCCTGGACATGTCCCTGAGCTCTTCAGCTCAAGGCTAGTACTCTACCACTTGAGCCACAGCACCACTTCTGGTTTTCTGGTGGTTATTGGAGAAAAGAGTTATAACTTTAAGTTATATATATATATAAAGTTATATATAACTTTAAGGATTATTTACTTTAAAAAATTGACTTAGCTGGGTATTGGTGGCTCATGCATATAATCTAAGTTATTCAGGTGGCTAAGACCTGAGGATTGCAATGTGAGGTTAGCCCAGGCAAGAAAGTCCATGAAACTCTTATCTCCAATTAAGCACAAACAAAGCCAGAAGTGGACCCCATGGCTCAAGTGGTAGAGTACCAGCCTTGATTTTTAAAAAGCCCAGGGATAGTGCCTAGGCTTTGAGTTCAAGTCCCAGGATCATCACAAATAGTTCAAGTCCCAGGATCATCACAAATACACAAATATTTTAAAAAAAGATTTAACCTTCAAACTAAGCTATACCAACTATTTTACTCATGAGCTTACCATTTTTTCTTGAATCCCCTCTCTTTTCCCTTTTTGATTTTGTGGCAGTACATCTTTCAGCAATCCCTTCACGAACAAATTCTGGCTGGCAAATTTCCTGAGGGTCTGAAGGTCTGAAAATCTCTGGATTTCACCATCACATTTAAAGGCCAGTTCAACCCTACACTCAAGTTTGGGCTCAAAGTCATTTTCTCTCAGGATGTCAAAGACGCGAGCCCATTGCTTACTAATGTCCAGTGTTGCAGATGAAAAGTCAGCAGCCAGGGTAAGCACAGCGCCCTCCTGGGTCAACATTTCTTCTTCGGAGGCCATTAGCGCTTTCTCCTTAGTCCCTAACTTTTGAAGATTTTTGTCTTCTTCCAACTGTTTGACCACTTTGTCTTTTTCATTCTTCCTATTCCCTCCTGGTGTGACTTCTGTATACATGCTGAGATTTCTATGCCCTTTATCCTTACTACATAAGACTTCTTCCACACATTCAGTGGCTTTGAGATGGTGTGATAGCTTCTCACCTTGTTCACGATTGTACTTTTTAGCTCTGTCCAACACATTAGCTTTCTTTCTTTGAAATGTTAAGTCTTCTGTATCATCATCACTTTCAGAGTTTTCATCTTCTGTTTCCTCCACTAATTCTTTTTTCTGTGAAGTTAAAGCTTTTACTTGATACTCTGTCCTGCTAGTAGCATTCTTTGAACTTTTGTGATCAGGTACTTCATTACCTAACATTTCCCTTAGGTCATTTTTAAGGCTTTTTCTTATGTCTTCAATCATCAAATCTCTCATTTCTTCCAAGACCTTAAACTTTTTCCTAACAGCTGCAGATGTGGCTTTGTATTTTGAATCTAGCACTGGGGATATCTCCCTGTCAGTTCCTACTAACTGCTTTTGGTGGATATAGGTGGCTTTCCCCTGTTTCTTCACAAGTCTAGCCATTTTTTTTACTATGTGCTAGATATTGTGGGTATGTTGCCACAACGATACTTTCTTTTCCCAAAGAGTAATTTTTGTTCTTGCACACTGGCTCAACTCCAGAAATCCAAAATCTAAAATTTAAAGGGAAAAAAGTTAACCACTTAATTACTGAAGTATTATTCTCCACTTAAGGCTAATGCTCAAACAATTTGAGCCACAGCACCACTTCCATTTTCTGGTGGTTTATTGGAGATAGAAGTCTCATGGGCTTTCCTGCTGGGGCTGGCTCTGAACCATAATCGTCATATCTCAGACTCCTGAAGTAGCTAGAATTACAGGCATGAGCCACCAATACCGGCTTGAAGAGAATTTTTTGTGTGTATATGCCCACTGTGTATTGAACACAGGATCCACATTGAACTAGGCCCTAGAGCACATTCTTGGTTTGTTTGTTAGGTTGTTTTTTTTTTTTTCCTGCTCAAAGCTGGTGTTCTACCACTTGAGCCACATCTCTACTTTGTGTTTTCCGGTCATGGGGCTTGAACCCTGGGCTTAGGTGCTGTCACTGAGCTCTTCATCTCAAGGCATGCACTCTATCACTTGAGCCACAGTACCACTTCCTGTTTTCTGGTGGTTAATTCGAGATAAACAGGCTCAGGCTTTCCTGCACGAGCTGACTTTTAACTGGGATCCTCAGATCTTAGCTAAGGTGTGAGCCACTGGCACCAGGCTCTGAAAATTTTTTGTTAGACAAACTTAAAAATGAGCTTAAGTTTCTGGAAGAAAAAAAAAAGCTTAGTTAAGAAAACTGTGGGGGCTGGGAAGGTGACTCAGTGGTAGAGTGCTTGCCTTGAATACATGAGGCCCTGGCTTTGATTCCTCAGCACCACATAAGCAGAAAAAGCAGGAAATGGCGCTGTGGCTCTAGGGATAGAGTGCTAGCCTTGAGCTGAAGAGCTGAGGGACAGAGCCCAGGCCCAGAGTTCAGGCCTATGACCGATGAAGGAAGGAAGGGAAGAAAGGAAGGAAAGAAAGAAAGAAAGAAAGGAAGAAAGAAAGAAAGAAAGGAAGGAAGGAAGGAAGGAAGGAAGGAAGGAAGGAAGGAGGAAGGAAGAGAGAGAGAGAGAGAGAAACAGAGAGAAATAAGGAGAAAGAAGGAAGGGGAGGGGGGAAGGGGAGGGGGAGGGAGGGGAGGGAGGGGAGGGGAGGGAGGGCAAAGAAAGAATCAATCATTTCAATAAGCTTTTCAAAAAAGCTTGGAAGAAGTGCTGTGGCTCAAGTGTAAGAGCATTAGCCTTGAGCAAAAAGCAGCTCAGGGACAGCACGGAGGACTTGAGTTCAAGCCCTAGAACTATCACAATATTTTTCAGCTATTTGAGAGGGTGAGTGGAGTCTAGTAGTTTGTATCCAGCTTGAGAAATATAAGAGCCTACCTCAAGAAAAATATATTATACATTCACACACATATGCATCTATCTAAACTGGAAGTGATTGGCTTGGGGCATCACTCAAGTGGTAGAATACCTGCATAGCAAATGCATGGTCCTGAGTTCAAATCCTAATACTGCGGAGACAGAGAAAGAAAAAGAGCTGGGCGCTGGTGGCTCACGCTTATAATCGTAGCCACTAAGAAGGCTGAGATCTGAGGATCATAGTTCAAAGCCAGCCTGGGCAGGAAAGCCCACGAGACTCCTATCTCCAATAAATCACCAGAAAACCGAAGTGGCACAGTGGCTCAAGTGGTAGAACCCTAGCCTTGAATCGAAGAGCTCAGGGACAGTACCCAGGTCCAGAGTTCAAACCCGTGACAAAAAAAAAAGAGCCGGGTGCTGGTGGCTCACACCTGTAATCCTAGCTACTCAGGAGGCTGAGATCTGAGGATCACGGTTCAAAGCCAGCCCAGGCAGAAAAGACCAGGAGACTCCTATCTCCAATAAACCACCAGAAAACCGGAAGTGGTGCTGTAGCTCAAGTGGTAGAGCGCTCGCCTTGAGCTGAAGAGCTGAGGGACAGCACTCAGGACCAGAGTTCAAGCCCCACGACCGACAAAAAAAAAAAAAAAGAGAAAGGAAAGAGAGATATTAAGTAGAATATCGAGACACTGAATGAAGCTCTGGGTTCAATTCCTCAGTACCATATAAATAGAAAAAGCCAGAAGTGGTAGAGTGCTAGCTTTCAGCAAAAAAGAAGCCTGGAAAAAAGAGACTTGTGATTTTCCTAGTTAACTTTGCTGTTCAGGTTCAGTATATTAAGCATTAAATATGGATTACAGTAAGCATTAAGTGCACTATTCTAAATTATAAAAGTTTGAGATAGGCTGGGAATGCAGCTTAGTGGTAGAGTGCTTGCCTAGCATTCATGAAGCCCTGGGTTGGATTCCTCAGTACCACATACACAGAAAGAAAGAAAAAAAAAAGCCAGAAATGGCACTGTGACTCAAGTGGTAGAGCATTAGTCTTGAGCACAGAGGTTCAGGGACAGTGCACAGGCCCTAAGTTCAAGCCCCTGACTGGGGGAAAAGGAAAGAATGCTTGAAATGATTTGGATGGAAATTCTCCTTTTGATTGCACAGATTAAGACTTCCCTTCCAAACCAGCTGTCAGATCAACTCGAATATTGTTTCTCAGAGTGTAAATATGGGGCCTGTCCTGAGTGGAACAGAAGAAGTAAGGTTGAGTGGGAGGAATGTCTGAGCCCAGAAGTTTGAATGTAGCCAGCTCAACATAGAGAACAATGTAGAGACCTTCCTCAGAGGAATAAAAAGCAAGTTTGATGTGCAATTAACTCAGGAATAAGACAAATAGGTCTGTGACTCAAATTTAGATTCTGTTCCATACAAAAAAATCAACTTGAGGTTAGCTCACTCAGGGACAGCACCCCAGCCCAAGCACTGGCACCAAAAGATAACAAAAGGACAATACAGGCAGCAACTATATACTCAACCCAAACCAGAAATTAATAAAACATCTTGGAGAACTGAGCTGTAACTCAATGGAAAACTTTGTGCTTAGCATGCCCAACATCCTAGGTATAGCTCAGCGTGCACGCACATGTGTGTGCTGTGTGCACTCACACACATAAACATAAAACAAAAATAAGACTAACAACCAAAACCTCCTTATGGTTTTACTTACGCAAGAGCTAGCTGGGCACAGGAGGTGAACCCTTCAGACTATATGAGTGAGACTCAAACATAAAAAACAAAAATACAAAGCTGGCACTAGCTCAGCAGTGCTGTGCCTGCCTAGCTAGTATCAGACTGAATTCAAACTCCCCCAATCCTGTGAAAAAGAAACATTGAGGGCTGGGAAGGTAGCTTAGTGGTAGAGTGCTTGCCTTGCATGTATGAGGCCCTGGGTTCTATTCCTAAGCACCACATAAGCACAAAAAGTCAGAAGTGGCGCTGTGGCTCAAGTGGTAGAGTGCTAGCCTTGAGCTAAAGAGCTGAGGGACAGTGCCCAGGCAGAGTTCAAGCCCCACAACCAGCAAAAAAACAAACAATAAAAAAGAAAAAATGTGCCAGGTGCTAGTGGATGACACTTGTGATCCTAGCTACTCAGGAAACAGATCCAAGGATGAAGGTTCAATTCAAAACCAGCCCAGGCAGACATATGAGACTTGTCTCCCAATTAACCAAAAACCAAACTAAAACAAAAACAGAAACAAGCTTGCCACTCCACCCCAACAACAACACAGAGATGGATGGCTCATGGTAGAGTACCAATCTTGGGCGGTTAAAGCCAAGAAATAATGAATGAGAGGCCCAGTATCAGCACACACAAAGACATAGACATACGTAGAAGATGTAAGGTAGTGCTGAGGAAAATTGACTTGAACACACACACAAGAGGAGCACAATTCACAGAAATGAAACCAAGTAAGAGATAGTCTATGAAGGGAAAGATATATCTATATAGATATATATTTACACATTTATACAAATTATATATATATAAATATATATGTAAATATATACATATGTGTAAATATATACATATACATAGACTTTCCTGCCCAGGCTGGCTTTGAACTGTGATCCTCAGATCTCAGTCTCCAGCATACTAAGATTATAGATGTGAGCCACCAGTGCCCGGCTAATCTTATTATTAATAGTATTCACTTTTATCTGAGTTGTACCTAAATCCTCCAGTGTTTTAAAAACATCTCAGGACAAAGTTACAAATTGAAGGTAGATTCCTCAAACAGAATGCAACAGCGTGTGTGTGTGTGTGTGTGTGTGTGTGTGTGTGTGTGTGTGTGTGTGTGTGTGTGTGTGTGTGTGTGTGTGTGTGTGTGTGTGTGTGTGTGTGTGTGTGTTTAGAGATCAAGCTTCCTGCTAGCCAAGTAAGGCAAGTAATCTACCATAAAACAAATCTAACAGTAAGGTTACAAACTCACACCAAAGTCAAGGTGGGTTTATTCACAAAGGCCAAGGAGAGCCATCCTGGATAGCAGCTGTGTCTTAGAAATTAAAATAGGGGCTGGGGATTTGGCTTAGTGATTCAAGGCCTGAGGCCCACTGGGGCTCTCCAATAAAGCACAATAGCTAATGATCCAGCCCAAATGAATGCAAGCCCAAATAGGAATCAGATATTCAAACAGACAATGCAAATGTCTAGGCGAGGGTAAATGGAAAGATCAGACGTGACCTGTAGGACCATTACTCAGCCATTCAAGGAAGTACTCACACATACCTGGAAGAAAGGTGCTAAATAAAGCAAGCACAGCCAGTAATCCTGTCATCAGAGTCTCATGGACTTTCTTACCCTGCTGACTTTGAATTAATTGTGATCTCAGATCTCAGCTTCCTTAAGTACTTAAAAGCAAATAACCTAGAAACCATTCATTTCACTAGACAAATTAAAGGATATTAATCATTGTAGACGTAGACAAGTACCAGCTCACACCTGTAATCCCGGTTACTCAGGAGGCTGATGTCTGAGAGTTGTGGTTTAAAGCCAGCCTGGGCAAAGTCTAAGACTTTTTATCTCCAGCTAATCATCAAAAAGCTGGAAGAGGCACTGTTGCTCAAGTGGTAGATTGAT